CCCTGAATAGAGGTGTCCCCTGAATGGAGGTTCAATGGAGGTCAAAATAGTTGGCACCTTTCCAGTGATATTACTAAAACTAGCGACCCCACCCCTCCCACCCCAAACAAAGTTGAATTTTGCGCAAAATGGGTGGAAATGAGTGCTTTCTTTGGTTACAACATTGCTGGGGGGACTGGGGAGACGACGGGATGAACCCAAAACCGAACAAAAAATTGTCGTTAGGAGTAGGGTCCTACATAACAATTACTTGGAAGGGCTTTTTCACACAGTCCCAAGTTCTTTTGTCCTCCATTGTTAGGCTAGGAAGTTATAATTAACTTCTCTCTGCGATGTTGTGTGTTGAATTTCCACAAGAGTGCAGTACATCGATTTAAGTGAGATAGTTCATATTTTGAAAGCTGTGGCCATTGTGACCGCCGAACACTCAACCCTATCAACGCTTTTTGTGGTCAGTCACCTTCTGAGTGCTAAGGTGTCCCCGGAATTGAGGTTAAACCCGAGTTTTAGGACCCAGAAAAAGCGTCCCTTTCCCCTGAATAGGGGCGTCCTTTCAATGGGGTAAAAATACAAAGATTATGTAAACAGCGGTGAGTTGACTAACGTGGACGTGTCTTTTTAATCTTCGCTCGCTTTAGTACAGGAGACAATTATTGTATTGTTGCCCACGTAGAATAGCTCCGCTAACCGTGGGTAACATAGTCTTAAATTATTTGATAATTAATTGTTGTTGTTGAACATTTTTCCGGGGCCAAATTTTGTGTCCCCTGAACGGAGGTGTCCCTTGAATAGAGGTGTTCCAAAAGAGAGGTTCCACTGTAGTTTGGACGGGCATGCGCAGAAGTTACTTCCGATTTCATCTTCTTTTTCTCATTGAGGTGTTGCTGCATAAGATCAAAAGTCTTTTTTTGCTTCCGTTGACAAGAAAAAAGTGTGCAGGTACCGACTATGAATAAAAACACAGGGGCAATTGATTACTTTTCGTTAAATAACTGCTTCGGTTTCGTTATAACTTAATCTCCTATAAATATATAACTGAATACATAATCTCCCAATAACTCCTGATCTGAAGTAGCCAGGAAGCATTGCAGATTGGCCAAAAATCTAACAGGTGAAATCTGTGTAAAAAAGTGTGTTATTCAGTCTCAACACTTTTTTTACCATTTTCTGAACGTCAGAAACACTGGTTTTTGGCATTCTGGTAGGCTGTGATGTTTGCGCTATTACACTGCAAAACTTAACGAAATGTTCTGGTTACCTCCCCTTTACACTCAATAATTTTCTCCCAACCCCTTTAAAACCATGTAAGTCTATAAGTATAGTTTTCAAAATTGTAACGCTACTTTTAAAAAAGTATGTTGAGTATATACGAAACGTCAAGTTTACAAAAAAGAGTAAGTTGAATATGTTTATCACAGCTCCTTGTGTTCTATTTCTTATCAAGCAACGGTGGTCCAAGAACAAAAGTAGTTACGTTAAAGCCATATTTTTGTTCATGGCCCCCCTCAAATCCCCTTTTCATCAGCTTTGTTCTACCCTGTCCTTCAAAAGTTCTCGCAGGGCTCTAGAATGATCTCGGAACGATTGAGATGGAAAAAGCATTCGTGCGGGCAGCTTGGAAAAGTAAACACAGCTGCAATCAGACAGTCACGCATAATTTATTTATTAACGCCAACAAAAGCAAGTTATTTGCAGAGTTCTTGACCAATACATGTATATAGGTGAATGTCGCTTTTATTTTCGAAGCGACGAGAAATCCAAATATATCGTTATTCTGAACACAACATAACGTATACGGCACAGAAGCCTGGAACTAGGCACTGCAGCAAATGAAAAAGGCGAAAAAAAATCGGCGTGCGACGCTAGCTGAGCGGTAGTCTGGGGAGGGGATGTGTGTCCTCAGGCTAACAAAGCAATATGGGAGGGGTGGCTGTACACAAGCAAAAAGAGACTGTGGCTACCCGCTGGGGAAAGGTAAGGAAGATTATAATTCACACAACACGTTGCACTTAATACTTTGATGGCCATGAACACTTGGGCATCATTTTACTAACATAGGGAATGTCGCTGATTTTGTTTGTTATGAGCCAGTATTGCTGAAGAGGATTCATTTGAATGGTTAAATCGCAGGATTTCATCCAGACTCAAAAGTTGGAACCACCTTGTACAGCAAAATAAACAACACATGAACACATGAAAAAAAATAGTGCTATCATATTAAATCTGGGTCTGCACTACGTGCACACCATAAACTTCACCACATACATGAGGCTTATTGACAACACAATCCGATTGTTAACGGAAAAGTTTAATACGGATAAGATAGCCTGGTGGTTTAGAGGCAAACTTATTTGGAAAACAACGACTGCTATAAATAAAGAAAAATATGGAGATCCTCGCACCAATGCAAGGCATTCTACCAGCATTAGATTTTTAACCTATCAGGTGAGGCTGTGACAATTAACAAATATTGAGTTGTTGTTAACTGTAAATGTATTCAAGCCTCCCCAGTAAAGGCAATAAAGGATCAGATGCAAGCGGGGGGATAATCCCATAAATTTCGGCTAGGTGTGTGCCAAGGTCTTAATGGAAATACACAAACTTTCATAATACTCGCTTTCATAATACCAACTGCCGATTTGCTTCTCGGGTAACTGGCTATTTACGCATTTGAATTTTAGCCCATACAATTTTAGTACCCCATCCAAGGATCAAACTGGGAACACAATGCATGTTTAACTGATCAGAAAGCTTCCCCGCTCCTTAAGATATGAGGCTTCTTTATACATGTATTAAGATTTTATTTCAAGCAGTTTTTGCCATTTTAAATGTTATATTTTAAGCTTTTTGTATTTTTAACTGTCGATGTTTTAAGTGTTTGATATAATCAGTGTTAGAATTCTTACAATACTGTTTTACTTTTTAGATGCTTTTTATAGTGTAATGAGGGCCAAGAATTTATCAGTGATTTATTAACTACTCTCAAGTGTCACCCTCCATAAATAAAGCCTTTACTTACTTATTTACTTGCTTACTTGCTCACTTACTTACTTAATAATTACTTGCTTACTTACTCACTTATTTACTTATTCAAAAGCCACTGAATATAGTTTGCTACTATAGCTTACACAAGACCTCGGGGAAGGGAAATGTTTCTGATTATAATCAACTGATGCTGTTTTTCACCTTCCCTTGCAGCGTGTGCTCTTGTTTAACGCCTATGCCACGCACGCCATGTGCAAAGCAAGGATCGACGTGCTAGACGTATTTCCCATCAGCGACGCATATCCGGGAGGGACTGGGCTTCCTAAAAAGCCGTACGATGCAGTGCATTTCAAGGCTCATGTGTTTCAGCCAGTGGTGAATGTGCTTCAAAGATATTTCAGAAACCATTAGCGATATGTCCCATCTCACTGTAAAGCATGCATTTACGGGGTGAAAAAAGGTTCAATTTGCCAACGAGCCAGTGATGCATTTTCTTACACAGGCCACCCAAGAAGCCAAAACAAAGGGTCACACCCTTTCAGCAATCCCGTTCAAAAGGCGTCGAAGAAAATCAAGGAAACCAGATAATGTAAATTGCGGATTCTTTAGCAGCAGTCCTATTGAGAGAGCGTCTTGTTACTCAATACTTTTGCTTTAAAAGTGGACTTTTACTGCCAATTAAATTTTCTTTCAAAGATAACTTAATCTTTGAATAATTTCACAAATGTCTACATTCATAGGGAGATGCTGGGTCGGCATCCACCAGCGGACTCTTAGCCTGCAAGGACAACAGAGCGAACTGGGTGGCCAGGCGACTAATTCGGGTAAAGTCGCCTGAATGATGAATAAATATTTTAAAATTTGCAGATCTTTGGGTGACAATGGTAGTTTTTGGTCTTTGATAATGTAGTTCTGCTTCTCGTAGGTCTTTGGGGTGCAGTGGAACCTCTCATCGGGGGACACCCTCGGAACTAAGGCAAGTGTTCCCTGAATAGAGGTGTCCCCTGAATGGAGGTTCAATGGAGGTCAAAATAGTTGGCACCTTTCCAGTGATATTACTAAAACTAGCGACCCCACCCCTCCCACCCCAAACAAAGTTGAATTTTGCGCAAAATGGGTGGAAATGAGTGCTTTCTTTGGTTACAACATTGCTGGGGGGACTGGGGAGACGACGGGATGAACCCAAAACCGAACAAAAAATTGTCGTTAGG